GATGACATGCTTACTGGCTAATTACGCGGCGGTTGAAAATCGGAGGTGGATTTCCCGGCGCCGGGAACGTAACCGGAGCGGCGATCGGGAGAGTTGAACCGGTTCAACCCTGAACCTGTTGATGTTCCGGTTTAATCTCATGGAAACCATTGCTCGGAAAGTTGTCTCTTTCGCTTCTATTGAAATTGAATATTTTGATCTTTTACTTGTTTTTGTTGATTTTGATTGAAGAAGATTGTGTATGTGATGTGTAAAATGTTGTGGCCCAGATTATTGATTTTTGGGCCGTAATAGGCCCATCACTTTAGAAATATTTGTGAGGGTTGTTAAATAGATTTAAATTGTCATTTGTAGTTTCGCACTAAGGAGAAATTCTTTAAAAAACCACTAATAAAAATTTATGTTCCAACTTCCAAACATATCATTCTTTATTTTATTTTGAAATTAAGATTTAAATAGTTGGGTAGAATTTTAATTTTATACTACTAAACTCGAACTAGATATTGATTTTTCAATTTGTTTTTCTAAAATCAGAATACAAGAGAATATGAACTAGATCTAGAATTAACTAGTTTGGTAAATGGCAATGGGGAAAAAAAAATTCAGAAATTGTTTTTAGCAGATAACATAAGAGTTATGACAAATTTTTGAAATAATTTTTAGCGCGTTAAATGATAATATGCAAATTTAAAATAATGTACACACGTTTATACGATAAAAATATAAGTTTATTAATCAAATTAGATGTCCACGTAAATAAATAGCATGTTATATAACAAAAATTACGTTCTCCGGAAACTGACGAAAGTAAAAGCATCCAAAACCTCTATTGATCAACTAAATATCCACATACGTTTTGTGATGGTTAAAGGGAATGACAAAAAAAAGACTTTTCAATAGGTGTTTTCATTAGACCGGTGTTCTAAAATACGTTATACGCTAGTCGGACGGTGGATCACTGTATAGCGTATAGATATATACGCAGACATTTATGCGGGGTATATACAGTAGATATTTTTGCATAATTATGAATATATATACAAAAATATTTTGTTTTAATACGTAATAGAAAAAGTATTATCGTGAATTCTATAAAAAAAAACTTAAATAATTAACATTAACATGATAGTTTTAATTCAAATAGTAAAATAACATAGTTGAAAATTGTTTCAAATAACAAAAAATAGAATTATATCAATTATACTTTTGGAAAAAAAGTAAAAAACATAGTTTGATTTAAAATTTTTAGAAAATATACATGTTAAAACTGTATATTTGTTCATTTAGTTATCGTATATGAAAAGATAAATTTTTTTTTCATTTAAAAATAAGTATAGCATAAATACGATACGACCATCTACTGTATAGCGCCTGGACGCCGTATATGCGGATGCCTGGACCGTATTTTAGAACATTGCATTAGACAAAGAAACCTATTGTTCATTGTTAGTTTCTTAATTATAATCATTTTATTTACTAAAAATAAATATCTATACTCTGTAAAAAAAAGTCCATCCACAATAAATGTGAATATGAAGTTTTTTGTCAGGGATGGTGAACGAGAAAAAGGAGTTGTAGTTGTTGGGAGGACGGTGGTTTACATAAATGGTAACAAAGCTATGACTATAAAAGCTCATGTCTCTCCTTGCAACATTTCAATTTAAAGTTTTATTATACTACATCATCTTTGTTTCTC